AAAAGATTTTACGTTTCCTCTAAATCCCCTCTAAATTAACCGCCAGGGAGCGAACGGAGGAAATTCCGGGACCGGTGTCAAAATTCAAATATTTTAAGGATAATCTCGATTTAATCGGAGGTTGTTCATTATACTTATCCAAATAATCGGAATGAGATCCTCAAATTTGGTAGTCCAACAATGCCCTTTTGTTCCTTGGAATGTGAGGTCAAGCGGCATAATTTATTATTGCGTTGATATTTCCTGCAACGACTGCACGACCTTGCCGGTTTAATGCCGGATTTTCGTATACCATTAGAAAAGTGAAATCGATTAATGGATCTTTCACTTACCTAAAACTTAACATGAATTATTCTCTCTCTTTTTTCCTGGCAAAAGGTGGCGCTGTAAAAACAAGTTAAATATTCCTACGGGAACGGTTGCAAACGGCAAGTTATATATGGTCTTGTTTTTTTAACAGGCGGCTCTAGAAATTAATCCACTTCATACTCCTACACAGAAATAAATATTTTCAAAGCACCTCTCTTCGTATCAAAGCGCACAACTTAAAACGCTACCGGGTGGTCATCATAAGGAGGGTAAACTTCAAGGCTGGAAACGGGTGCTTCGCTACACTAACAAAAAAGGGCGAGGTGGCGATAGGTGCGGGGAATAAGAGAGAGGGGAAAAATGTTTTTATAACAAGAAAATACCTTTTTAATGCAATTAATAAATATTTTTTTTATTCTTCATATGTCAACTTGCCCCTCTCTGGATCATCAGCTTTAGAAGAACAAAGAAAAGAAAAGGTTAAAAGAAGAAAAGAAATAGGGAGGGTGAAAATTGATAGGTCACGACTCACGAGTAATCTATGAGCTGATAAGGTAGAAAAAATATTGAGATAATAGCGAGGTTTTGGATGCGGAAATGCGGTGAGAGGGAAGAAGAAGTAGAGAAAAGAATAATAAAGGAAATGCAGATTTTGTAGCGGGAAAGAGGGATGCATAGAAGACATGCAATGGGAATGTACAGAGGTGGAAAGACCAAGAGAATGCAGGATTGAAGTGCTGGAAGAGGGAGGAAGGAGAAAGAAATGGACAAGGATGATTTTACAAAAAATTTTTGCTCACTGCTTAACTTTCAACCTTGAAAACGCTAAAGCTCTTAGAATCGTTAGAGCCGGACGCGATTAATGTATGCCTCCAATGCCTGAATCGTAGCCGGCTCCATTTAGACTTTAAACCTTACGTAGCCCCACAAGAAAACGTCTAGAGTCGGCTTCAGTTCTTGCACAGCGCACTGACAATAAACTTTCATATGAATAAGTACATAAATAAATACTTAACAAAACAATATGAAAGCATAATCACCTGTACAGTATAATGAAAAAAACATGATCCATATAACGGTACTCTAAATAACTATAGAGCAACCCCACGCTTAAAATAGCAGTATTATATGCATAATGAAAATAACAAATTACAGCTGCACAGTATGATTGCTGTATATACAGAGCGTTTCGTATTTTTGCATACTGAGATTCTTTCAGTTGTGAGAGGTGTTGCCTAACCGTAGAGGTATCTTACCACACATTCTAGAGTCTAGACAATCCAGAAGTGTTACGACGCTGTAAACCTTCTCGACATTTTACACACTATACACTCTAGACAATTTAGAAGCAGACTCCATAGACTCTGGGCATCCTACAGACTCTGCAGACTTAACAGTCTGTATACCATCCCGATACTTTAGACACCAGATTCTTTAGATTCTCTAAAAACTCTGGAAACTCTAGACACCCTAGAATTCTGTAAACACTCTAGACATCTTAAAAGAATCGGTTTACTGAATATATACCTACGTAGAAAAATATGGTTACCTTAAGGTCGCTTTACATACTGCAATTCTTTGTGCAATACAGTTGCAGCAAGTTTAATTGCAAAAATACTGTACATGCAATAATTATTGCACTTTGGTTTTACACGCGGCAATTTTCTTTTTGCAATAGTTTGTTACCAACATTCGCATTTAAAATTGAACTAAAAGCTTTATTCTATTCAAAATTCATCAGGTGTTGTTATAATTCTGAATGCGTTTTGAGTAAAAATGAATACACTTTAATCGAAAAAAGGCAGTCGCAGCTTCAATTTGTGTAGTAATAGTAGTAATAATAACAAAGTCTAGTTTCAACGTTTGGGAATTCTAGAACCTGGTGTTGTCAATACTTTCCCCCAAAATATCACGTGCAAGTGCAATAAAAATCGCGCGCGACCGCTAACCTGCAATTGCAAGTGAATTGCCAAAATGAATCAGCTGTTTCTCAAACGCGCATGCTTCTGGGCAAGTTTTATTGCGTATTGCATGGTCTTGCATGAAGAATTGCAGTATGTAAAGCGGCCTTTATTTTCAGTAAACCAACGGTATAGTGATAGCCCTGGGTCGTCGAACCTGAAGTACTGTCTACTTTGCTGATCCAAATGGTTGGAAAAAACAGTGAATGCAAGATCCTTGGTCTCGTAAATGAATGGCTTCTTTGATTTTCAAGTTCCAACACGATTACTGAAAATTACGTAACTTGACGATACGCGTCAAAGTTTCAGACGGGCAAAGAATTACGTGAAATTGTATTTTTAATCCATTCTCCTTTAGAATGTTACGATAATTTATTCTCGCGCGTATAACATATACACTATTGTCCGCACTTATCATAATAGTTTCCAATATGCGAAAATTAAACTTATTTATAGGTCAGGCCGCTGTTATCTTCATTGGTTAAAATTTTCGCCATTGTTCGAATTTACCGCAATGGTTTTTCAACCGAAAAATATGCCCTTAAAGTCAACGTCATTAAAAAACTAATTCGAGACTTGTTTCGTGTTTGTTTAATCGTACTTTGCTACTGAAGGCGCATTCAACTTTGTAACATAAAATAAAAAGCCAAACCCCACGATTATCTGCGAGTGATCGACAAACTAAAATCCACCCTGCGCTAACTTACTGGTATTCTACTTAACTTTTTTAACCACTCGACGCGAACGGTAGCGTGGTTTAACGCGCATTGCCTCACGGTCCCAACTACTTATTCTAACTCTCAGATCATGGACGGATTAATCATAGTCTGTAATTCCTAACCATCAAACTCGTGTTCTGCAAAGAACCATGTTCATGGAGATTTGCCCCTAACGCCCTATGCTGAAAGTCAAGAGCTAGAGCCCCAGGACCTTCAGGGTTTTCTGCCCTCATTTGCACTTACCAACTCCTTTACTGGATTTTCCTCATACGCTCTGTGGTGCTTTCCATTATTCCATTCCAATTCCTTATTGTGGAATTCTGACAAGCAATGAATTTAGTTTGCAATGTTTGGTGCAAAGAGGTTGCCTTTTTTCAGGTACTGAAGCTGCCCATGTTCAACAAGTCTGTGTCAGATTTCTTCCGATCAATCGTAAGCGACACCATTCGGACCAGAGAGGAACAAAACATCGTGCGTCCGGACATGATCCACTTGCTGATGCAGGCTCGCGCGGGACAGCTAGATCGCGAGAAGGACGCCTCGGTGCCTGAAACGGGATTCGCCACCGTCCAAGAGTCGGAGGTGGGCAAAAATTTCCAGCAACGCAAAGACGGCATAACAAACGACGATATCACGGCGCAAGTTTTGCTCTTCTTCTTTGCCGGATTCGACAGCGTTTCGACAATGATGTGCTACGCCGTCTACGAGTTGACGCTTCAGCCGGAACTGCAGGCGAGGTTGCGGCGAGAGGTGGACGAGGCGTTTTCACAATGCGGCGACGATCTCACGTATGACGTTCTGATGAGCATGAAGTATTTGGATCAAGTGATTTGTGAAACGTTGCGAAAATGGCCGTCGTTCATTGGGACCAATCGAAGATGCGTCCGCCCGTTCCTAATTCAACCGAAACGATCGGGCGAAAGTGTGTTGTACTTAGAGTCCGGAAGTGTCGTGTCCATTCCTATCTTCGCCATTCAGAGGGACCCCAAGTTTTACCCAAACCCTGAAAAATTTGACCCTGGGCGTTTTAGCGAGGAGAATAAGAACAACATTGTTCCGTACACGTATTTACCCTTCGGCGCTGGACCTAGAAACTGCATCGGTAAGTATCCGTATCGAGAACTATTGTTGTTATTTAATCTCTTTTTCTATTACAGGTTCTCGATTTGCTTTGATGGAAGGAAAGTTGATCGTCGCCGAATTGATTCGAAAATTCGAATTTGTAGTCGTGGAACAGACAAAAGTTCCGATAGTCCTTAGCAAGACAAATTTTAATCCCATACCCGACGATGGGTTTTGGGTTGGGCTAAAGCCACGCACGTTGTAAAGCGCAATATCGTTGTAAATTGTTTCTAGATCGTAATCATAAAAGTACAACCATAAATCGTGAATGTAGTAAGTGCAAGTTGTAGTTTCTTATGATAAAAGCGCCATTTCGCTAATGTATTTTTAAATAAAGTAGAAAATCCTTTAAAGCAACACAACTGATCTCATTTTTTATACTGCGGGTTAGAAATTGATAATAATAATGAGAGATGAAAGCAAAATTTTGAATGACAGAGCAAGTTCAAACATGTGGTTCAAACTTCATTAATTAATCAAAAATACTGACAACAATATTTGCTGTCAATATTTACAATGGATGGATTTAGACAAGAAGAACGTCGTAGACGGAGCTATATTTTGCCCTTTCCATATCAAGTACCTTATATCAGTCATCTTTCATGGACCGCCTTTTTCGTATCGACCGCCTTCTCCTTACCGACCGCTTTGAACGTGCGAGAGGCGAACGGGCACCTTTCCCATTTTCCATAGGCCGCCTTTCTCGTATCCATCGTCTTTTTCGTATCGACCGCCATTTACACCCGCGAGGGGAAGGGACACTTCTCGCATCTTTCATAGACCGGCTTTTTCGTATCGACCGCCTTGTACACCTGAGAGGGGAACGGGCACCTCTCGCATCAATAGACTGTCTTTTACGCATCAACCAATAATTAGCATCGACCATCTTGTACACCAGAATATAGAATAGTCTTTAATAAAACCAGTTAAGGTGTACTTATATCATGTTTCCAATTGGTAAATATATATCTGTACATAATTTACACATGAATTACTTATGCAAAACATGTAGAGAACTACTTACTGCTGTTATGGTATAATTACAAACACATTCATGGCAAAATTAATTAACTAATTTTTTAAGCGTTTATTTAACTAACTGCAAAACAACGTAGAAAAATGTTAATTTAAGAAATTGAACTTGCCACTCGTGAATATTACGCACGTTCATCAATGTAAAGATCATTAAATATGAAGTAACATAACCTAACATTAAGATTATGGGCTTCTTCCGCAAATTTTGTTGTTGAAAACGTTTAATTAAGGTACCCTTTAACAATTTGTATTAATTTTATGACCGTAACTCGAGGTCCGAATAACGTCATATACCCGTAAAAGCAAATCCGAATCAATCTATTATGAAGTTGCATATGATTTGAATACTTTTGACGAATATTTAATAGAGAAGTTAAAAAAGAGCAAAAAAAACCCTAGGTCCAAGTTTTCTATTGACCGAGATAAATGAAGACATTCCATTGTATTGGCAAAGTCCAATGTTTCGTATTTTATGATACAAGAATACAAAAAGAAAACACCCCAAAACGCGTCTTAAAACAGAGGAAATGTTTTCTACCACGTAATCGAGGTCCAACTGCCCTTCCTACCTTAATTTGAGGATACCCTGCTTGTCCAAAAACGCAGACCACCGTCCTAGAAATCCTATAGGATGCCGAAATTTAAAGGATTGATTTTTTAGTGAATTGTTTGACTAGTGGGATTGTGTTATTAAGCCGTGGTGGAAATGAGGTTCGTCTATTCTGCGCCGTTTCATTTCTTTAGAGCGTTGTTGTATTAATAAATTCCGGATGTCCGGAGGTGTCAAGGTTTGGATCATATTCAGTTAACTCAAGTAGGATTAAAAATTGGTTACAACTGCGAATTTGACATGAGGTCAGTTTAGCATCATGCAGCGTCGCATATGTTGCTCGTATGGAGGATTTTATTTACTACTCTGATTCTTGTTTAAGTCGTAGTGTGGGTCATTGTAAAAGATTTTGATTGATTCGCGGTTGGGTCCCGTTCAAGCGATCTTTAAAGAAAAGTAAAATTAAAAAAATTGCGTTTGGTCATTAGTGCGACAATTGGTTTTCCAATATGAAATTTTCATTATTTCGCGTCTGAACTGTGGAAAAGTTTATTTTGAGTATATTTGAACGTAATGATCACGTCCAAATGTGCCATAAGGTTCTTTATGCACGCGATAAAAATTTAATTTCCGTGGCCATTAGCCGATATTTCCTCCTACAATGCAAAATATTTCCATATATACTCAGTGACATGGAAATTGCAACACCAAGAAGGAGTTGGAATTTTTTTACCAAACTTGGCAGAAACGTTTAGCTACTAAAAGGTAACAATTGATTAAAATTTAAAAGAAAAAGGATGAAATATAAACATATTTTTATTAATAATAATAGTAGTCCCTCCCTATTGGTTACGCACTCTCTCACGCTTCGTAGCATCGATTTTAGCAGACGGCCGATTTCCTCTTGAGGTATTGTGTCCCTAGCAACTGTGAGTAACCTCTAATTCATTGTGTAGAGCTTGCAGCGTCTGCGGAGGATGGGGTAAGTTCATCAGTCTTCTCTTCATAATGTCCCAAACTTGCCCGATAGGCGATATACTGGGAGATCTGGGTGGCTATGGCAAGAAATTGACATTATCATGTGCAAATAAGTCCATAGAACGTCTTTCAATGTGGGGAGGGGCATTATCCTGCTGGAAAAGTGGGTCTTCCAACTGCTGAAGAGATGGAAGAATATCGGGTTCTATCACGTCATCCACATATCGCTGGGGGGGGGGTCATATTACCTCGAATGAATAACAAACGAGCCCTACTCCCATAAGTTATAGTACTCCATACCATAGTCCCCACCCAGGGCCGCCGAGAGCCGATTCGGGCCCCGGGACTGTTCAGCACTTCGGGCCCTACTAACCTTTCAAAAAATGTTTGATACACCAAATAATATTTATATGTAAAATATGTCGTAACGTAACTTGTAAAGTGATACTTATTTGATGACGATGACCTAATGACTCAAACTCAAATAAAACAACGAATTCGCAAAATTAAAGTAAAGGTATTTTAATGTAGGAGACGGCGACTAAATTAATTCATATCTTAACTAGAACTGAGTCATGAAGATCATGTTTCCAAGCATTGCATTCAAGTTCAAGTTCACTTGCACTTTTTGCTGTGAATAACATTTTTGGCCAGTATCAGTCTTTGTAGGTATAAAAAGTTAAAAACAACTCGAAAAAGTGTTACGAGCCAGAAAAAGCAGATATTAAGCTTAAGCCCTAATAAAAGCACTAAATTCCAAAAAAAGCATAAAAAACTGTATTACACCTATTTTTGTTCAGATTCGTTCTTAATTGTTATAATTTTTTCGTGCTATCATCCATCATAAAAAATATCCTAATGGCTAGAAATAATCTACCCCGAAGTCAAGCGAATCATCTCGCATTTGGCCTTTGGAGCAATATACAAATGTTCTCGAAATGAAAGTTTGATAACATCTGGTTATAAAATTAAAATGTACTTATGTAAAAATAGAAATGCAACATCCGACGTGCTGATTTATTTTTGCAGATTCACTTCGTGATTACCTAGGTGGGCACGTGCCCTTTAAGCACCAGCCACTCCGAATAACAAAATATGCAACTTGTGAAAACGCGTCGTGCGGCGCGTCTGGGTCCATCCGGGCCCCTAGACCGACCGGGCCCCGGGAATTAGTCCCGTCTGCCCCCCCCTCTTGTCGGGCCTGGTCCCCACAGCTTAGTGCACATGCCTCATAACAGAAAATTCAACATTGCGACGTTCCCCACGTCTTCGGCTGCCCTTCATACGGCCATCATGCATACCCAAACAAAATCGGGATTCATCACTGAACACCACTCAATGCTACTCTAAGTTCCAGTGCAGTCGTAACCTACACCACTCCAAACGCTGCTGGCGGTGTTGAGCTGTTAATGGTAACAAAAGATGTGGCCGATAGGATTGCAAGTCGTAAGCTCTGATTCTGCGGTAAACCGTTCGATGTGTTACAGGACGACCTTCGTTAGCTAACAATTGGTCGGCAATTGACCTGGTACTAGAGAATCGGTTTCTTGTTGCCATAAGTCAAAGATGGCGATCCCGCACTTCAATTGTTCTTTTTCGCCTCCCACCCTTTCCTACCCCCTCCTTTTCCTCTCTACGACGATCCTGCCCCTTCCCAAATCCATGCCCGATTGCAGCGAATCATGGTGGATTGACTTCGGTTAAGGTGACTTGCAATTTTTGTGAACGAAAAACCACCTCCGCCCAAACCAACAATATGACACCTGTCAACTCCCCTTAATTCGCGGTAATTTCCACTTTGGCGTATCTAGGCATGATCACAGCCTCAAAAGAAACGATTAAACGCGAAAACAATAAGAACTGAACAAAATCTCGCATCTCATTCGTTAGGAACGTGCTCGGCTGGAGCAGTCTGTGAAAAGGGAAAATGCGTGACGGGCGGCGTGTGTATTCCCGCCGAAGTACCTCCGTTTGAATGTTCTTCCAGTGGAATTTTTCCCGATCCTTACGACTGAGAATTGTCACCAAAGAGTTGGTTACTCTTTGGTATCACTTTTGTGTACCGCCAAAGGATGCGAGAGAGTCATTGGAGCACAGAGCTGCTAAATGCAATGAGGATGGAACACAGCATTATGGTTATAATCCGATTACGACGTTCTGTAGTACCAAGTTGGTCAATAACAAGTGCAGCGCCAACCCGATTCCATTTTGTAAGAAACCATTAGACAAAGGAATGGTTGGAAACAACCCGGGATTGCATTATTTTTGCTTAAACGTCACGATAAATGGTAAAATAACAGAAACCTTGTATCCTTACCAATTTGCTTGCGAATTTGGGACAAAGTTCAATGTTGCAGCAGGAGAATGTAGATAAGTGCTCAAATTTAACTTAAAGTGAGTGCGACCGAATGATATAAAACCATTACCAACTCAGTACATGTAACTAAAATTAATAAAAATTTGAAGTGGTTACCAGCTCCAATAACAGAGCTGAAGCTACAAAATGATTTCATTGTAAAAATTATGAACCACGAAAGTTATCCCTTTCCCTATCCCGAGACTGCTTCATTCCAGCTTTCCACTGTTGGTTGCAGTAGGTACTACAGAGGCCAATCACTGCCAAGTTGTGGAGTATTTGTTTAACGGTCTCCAAAGTTTCAAAAAGTGGCCGCTTCAACGTTCAATTAAATTTGTGGGTATGGTAGATGTCACGCGGGGCCAAATCGAGAGAGTATCGCTTCAAACATAGCACAGTGTGACAAAGTGCGTTTGGCTTGATGGAGAAACCCACTTGGC